CAACAAAATAATAAGATAACTTAAAAACAGAAAAAAAAAAAGAGAGAAAAATACAAAAAAAACACACAAAACAAACAAACAAAAAATAATAGGATAACTTAAAGTAGAACTCTCCAAGGTGTTTGAACGCCATTTTTTGTAGAAGGCAAAGATAAAGCTCCAGTTCTGATAAAGCCTCATAAAGAATGGGCTGGATCAGAAAGGACGTAGTAAGTGGCTTTGTAGGGGGTACATGGGATTGTATGACTAATCAAAGCAAGAGCTGTTTTTTAAAATCCAGGCCTGCAAGTGCCACACTCTTTTTCAGGAAGACAGAGTACCTGTGGGCAAAGTGAGGCTGTAGCAGTGGCAGGTGCCTACAATATAATATGAAGACCAAGCTGCCACATTTCTCCCTGGAAATTCACAAACAATGCTACCTAAATTTCTTATTCCCAAAATAGAAATAGGTGGGTCCAAGGACAGTTAGCTTCTAACACTGTGCTTCAACTATTTTAACCTAAGACTCTTCGTATCAGTTGCTATAATTATCATCTTGAAACAGGACATGCATTTCTTGCTATATATAGATAGAAGGAATGAGTATTTGGATGTCAGTGTCATTTTGTGTACCTTCCTTGGAACAACAGTAGTATTCAACTAGTCCTTCGCTGTTAAATCTGACCCCTCCCTGAAACTCATTCTCACCAGACAAAACGAGAGGCATTGTTTGAAAAGCTAGGACTGATTTTGTTTCCCCTTTGAGAAAACCCACAGGAAAAGCCAGCTTCCATAGAGGCAAATGTGGAGGTGATTACTAGCATTATGAATAGATCATTCTTTCAAATATATGAGTTACTCAAAATATGTCTTATTGTGTGTGCATAGATGACTAACTACTTGAGGAACAGGCCTCATTAAAATGGTGGTGCCATGGTCATTGTATCATCATCATCATCATCAGTCCCACACTACAGATAAATACTCTCAAAAATGTAAATAATGCATCTACAGAAACAGTAAGTGGTAAAACAAGATGTGTTCACAGGACTATGTCTTCAGTAACAGGCTCTCATTTATTTTACCACATAGTCTTATTTTGGCTTTTCTATCATATGCATTATTTTAAATGTTGCATGGTATAGGTAGATCTATAACAACTATTATATAAATGGATAAAACAGGCAGACCTTCATTGGTTTAAGAGCAGAAAAGTCACTGCAATGTGTCAAGCCATACTTTAAAGTGTTAGGTGCACATTTTCCCATACATTTGCATTATACTCCAAAGCTTTATGTGAATTTCTAATATTGTAAGAAAAAAAAAGTTGTACAAAATTAAAGTGTTTCACAATGCTGGTTGCTTTTCACAAGAATTCTTTATTGAAAAATTCCAAATTAGATTAATAACGATAAAATGTAGACAATGTATACAGTGATCTAACCTTTACCCTTGACTATTGCAATACAAAGTTAATAGTGGTTTAAACATAAAATACTTCTCAACTTCCTTTGAAGATGACTGAAACGCACCTTCTTTTATCACAGTTAAAGAGGAGTTAGGACCTCTCATTTTGCATTTACAGTTTTCTCAATTTTTGAAATAAAACTGGCAAATTCACTACAATCCACATATTTATATTCATTAACACTGAGCACAAAGAAAATGTCAGAGACGAGAAGAAAAACAAAAGCGTGTAGTGCTCCCAGTAGCCTAAGAAGTACAGAGTTTCAGGAAAAAGGGAAGAATCACTGGCAGCAAATCCAACGAGGGTCTATAAATTAAGAAATGAAAATGAATATAAAATATGAAATGAGTTTCTAAAGTAAGTCAGAAAGAGGTCACTGAGACCCGCAAGAGGAGTTGTTTTATTGCGGGGGGGCGGTGAAGGGGATAGAGGCCAGATGGCTTTGTGAGTGCCGACAGTGGCCTGAGTTAATTCAAGGATAGCTATGTCAAAACAAATTTAAGGAAGACTATTTTCATTGGAAAATCAGTAAGATAATAAACTTAATTGGTTTTTTAAAAGAAAACAAACAACCTTCCTCAATTAAAAATCCCAATTTTTTTCTTGTTTTATTAATACATTTGCTACTCATTTTTTAGACTATGTATGCTCAATAACTTGACCTAAAATTTCCTGATCAGATTGGATGTCACTGACTGCCCTATCTCTGTCTGTATATCAGATCAGCAATTATTAAACAAAAATCAAAGACAGCAAATTAGTATGACAAGAAAATTGTATTTAATGAAATTTGACCTGAATCTGAAAGATGGAGAAAGAAAAGTAGTGTGTATTAAAATACGTCAGAAGTGGATTAGGGTCTGACAACGCAAAGACTTACAGATTTGTCTCTTGAACAAATACCTTTAAATTGTGTGTTAATTCTAAGTGGTTTGGTTTTGTTCCGTCAGTAGGAACACTCCCTGCAGCTGAATTGGCAGGTCCTTTGTTTTCATGAGTTCTTTGAACCAATCAGGACACAGATAATCTTATTATACCTCTGTAGGCTTCTGTTTCTTTTGATGAAAGTCTAGAGAAGTCATGGGTAATATTTTACTGTGTGCCAGAGACCGCTTATATTTCACTTGTACAAGGTCAGATCTTAATTTAACCACCAACTGGATACTTAATTTTAGATACACAGAAGCACACATTGGCTCCAGGGCACTTCCTCTGATTTAGGAAGGCAAGTCCCTGGATAAGAATGACAAGATGATCATTCCAAAAGGTGAGATTATGAAATATTTGATCTGTACCTCACCAACTAGCTTATTGAATATTTCATTATTGGTAATATTTTAAACAGATGGAAATACAAATTATAGTAGCTACTCATTACTTTCTTTCTGGTTGATCACCTACAGGCTTAACTGTTTAGGGCCTTTTTAATTAGAGAATAAAGCTAGAATTTGTTTGCTTATAGAACATCAACTCAATTGCATAATTACTAAGCATAAAAAAATTATATCATGAGAAAAACAGATTAAGAATGAATATCCTTATAGAACATGTCAATATATTTACTACAGAATCCCAGAAGGGTCTCGGCTCACCTCTTGGTTTCTAATTTAAAAATTAACTATCTTTTGTGAATAAATAAATCTCTTCTAAGGCTTTTTCATCACTTGTTGAAAAAGATGAATGCTTTCTGCCCAGACTGAAAAATTTCTGTAGTTAGATTTTTAAAAAATAAACTGAATAGAATTGGAAATTTACTCCTGCAAATTATATCACAAAATCTAAAGGTTGGAAAGTCCTTAAAATTTATGTGATATCATCACTCGTATTGTTCTTAAATGCACAGTTAACTTCTAAGGAGCTTTCTATATCTAAAATGATTTGACTTCCATGAAGTAGAGCAGTGATGTGGACAAGAATAATCTTATCACTGCTTTGTGCTGAGAGCATTAAGTTATTGTGATAAAAATTATAATTTTATATTTCAGTTATTTTATGAGACTATTTTATTTTCAAATAGAAATTTGCCTACAAGTTTTATATTTCCCTTGGAGTTGTGGGATGAATTTGTTAGGTAGTTGCTTAAACTTTGTTAGAAAACTTTTTCTCAGGTTTATGAAGACCTGAGAGCCTTCCGGGGAGATATTAACAGGGCTCCTGTGTTGCAGAGGAACAATACTTTCTCAGTGTAACTCTGAGAAACAGAACCAGAAAAAGGTTAGAAGAGAAGGAGAAACATTATCTTCAGATAATGTTTTGAAGAGATGGATTCAAGTTCACTGGTTTTCCTAATTGTTAGGTTACAAAATAAGACTCTCTTTTCACTAATACCTTCAAAGTAGCTGAGTCATAGTTAGAGTATACTGGTTAAGCGTGGGTGGCCTCCATTGTCAGCTGACTGGGGTGTATCCCACTCTCCACTGCCCACTAGGTATGTGGGCTTAGGTAAGTTACCTAACGACTCTGTGCTTCAGTTTTCTTATCTGTAAAGTGGGGGAGAATTATGTAGACATTAAGTGACATCCATTTAATGCACTTAGTGTAATGCCTGTCACAGGTAAACACTCAATAGATATTAGTTATAATAATTATTAAACTCAATATAAAAATATTTATTAAAGACCTGCTATGCTATGTGCTTGACTGTGTGCTAAACCTTCAAGAGAAATTGGTATTATTTCTGGAGAAAAATCTAAAATACATGATTTAAAGACAGAAAGCTCCCTGAGGACATGGATCCCGTATATCTGTGTCTAGTCCTGTGCCTAGAACATAACAGACATTGAATGTATATTTTTGCATGGACAAATAGGATAGTCTGAACATACGTAGGAAAAAAATAATCACTAAGAATTGGTGGGTTAATTCTTTTCCTTTGTCTTTTTGATTAGCAGAGCTGAAGAATGTAGTATCATAGATAACTGTGCATATTTCAAGATGGTATTTGACAGTATTCCTTGACGATGGTCTTGTTATCAAAAAGGAGACATTAATGCTAGGTGTTGGTGTCTTTAAGAGGATTTGTAGCTGGATAAACACCTTTTCTGGGAGGGTGCAAATTAATGGATCAATGTCAACATAGAAGCCTCTGTCCTGTGCCGATTTCTTTTCAACATTTATCTTTATCGTTGGAGCTTAAGGACATATAGAAGGCATGCTTATTAAGTCAGCAAATAAAACAATACTTGGAGAGATAGAAAATGCGTTCAATTTTAGCAGAAGGAAATAAAAGCCAAATTGAAAAAATATAAAATGTAATAGGAATAAATAGAGTCCTATAGGGTCCTGCATACAATTACACAGAAAACAATGTAGAGAAAACATATGGTTTGTAGAATTTTGGGATATTGAGGTCTAAATCAACTGTGTAACATGATAGTCTAAATACTTATCTGAGCTTGGGCTAAATTAACAGATGTATAGTGTTTGAGAAAAGGAAAGTGGTCACACCCACTTAAACTTGTGTTGGTCTGACTGTAGCTGTTGTGTTGCACTCAGAGCCTGTGGTTCAGTGTCACTTTTAGAAAGAAATGGATAAACAGATGTGTTTACAAGAAAGCAATCAAGGCAGTGCAGGAGGTGAGACCATCTTATAGGAAGAGCAGTTGTCCAGCCTCTGAAAGAAAAGGCTCAGTGGAGACCTGAGAGCCTTCCTGGGGGATATTAACAGGGCTCCTGTGTTGCAGAGGAACAGTACTTTCTCAGTGTAACTGAGAAACAGAACCAGAAAAAGGTTAGAAGAGAAGTAGAAACATTATCTTCAGATAATGTTTGGAAGAGATGGATTCAAGTTCACTGGTTTTCTTAATTGTTAAAGCTGGCTAGGTCAGGCACCGTAGCTCATGCCTATAATCCCAGCATTTTGGGAGGCCGATGGGGGTGGATCACCTGAGGTCAGGAGTTCGAGACCGGCTGACCAACATGGTGAAACCCCGTCTCTACTAAAAACACAAAAATTAGCCCAGCATGGTGGTGGGCTCCTGTAATCCCAGTTACTCGGGAGGCTGGGGCAGGGGAATCACTTGAATCTGGGAGGTGGAGGTTGCAGTGAGCTGAGATCGTGCCATTGAACTCTAGCCTGGTTGACAGAAGGAGACTCTGTCTAAAAAAAGCAAAAAAATGCTGGCTAAAGGAGAAGCGCTCTGTGAGGAGATAGCAAGCTCCCTTACACTTTGATGTTCAAGCTGAGGCTATTAATGACTTGTTGGGCATGTTGTAAACAAAATTTACAGGTGGGGCTACCTGACGGTCTTTAACTCTGAAAATTGGTGATTCTAGGGAAAAGCAGGGAGAAGAAAATAAAAAGGGGGTGTCAGGGTGAATATTGAACGGTAAGCAATAGAACTAAAACTTTCAAAAAGAACTAGAATCCTACGTTCCCATTCCACAGGAGTTCAATCACAGAATAATAACAGGGAATGTTTGCTGACTACTTCCGACCCGTCAGACACAGTTCACCAGGCAGCTAATGCAGGCAGGTCAGGGTTTGAACAAAGATTCGACCATTATAATCAACTGCCTCCAACAGAAAGAAATCAATGGCCTGTACATGATTTCGAAACAAGATATGAAAAAATGCAGTGCCTCATTATTATTTGAATCAATATTGAAGGGAAAAAATTTGACTTGCGCACCAGACAGGATTGTCCGTCATGTTGAACAAAGTACATTATGCCAGGAATGAATATTTTTGGAAAGAATATATGTATATATAATTCTATATGAATATTTAGATGTATATTCATAAGAATAATACTTTTTAAAACGCTCAACATCCCTAATCATTAGAGAAATGCAAATCAAAACCACAATGAGATACCATCTCACACACCAGTCAGAATGGCTCCTAATAAAAAATCAAAAAATAACAGATGCTGGCGAGGTAATAGAGAAAAGGAAATGTTTATACAATGCTGGTGGGAATGTAAATCAGTTTGGCCATTGTGGAAAACAGTGTGGTGATTTCTCAAAGAACTTAAAGTAGAATTACCATTCGATCTAACAATCGCATTTTTGTATATATACACAAAAGAATATAAACCATTGTACCATAAATACACATGCATGCACACACTCACTGCAGCATTGTTCACAACAGCAAAAACACGGAATCAACCTAAATGCACAATGACAGTAGACTGGATAAAGATAATGTTGTACATATACACCATAGAATACCAGTCAGCCATGAAAAAGAATGAGATCGTGTCCTTTGCAGCAACATGGATGGAGCTGTAGGTCATTATCCTAAGCAAATTAACAGAGGAACAGAAAACCAAATACCCCACGTTCTCACTTACAAGTAGGAGCTAAACTTTGAGTACATATGCACACAAAGAAGGAAGCAACAGACACCAAGACCTACTTGAGGGTCGAGAGTGGGAGAAGGGCAAGGATAGAAAAACTGCCTATGAGGTACTATGTCTATTACCTGGATAACAAAACACTGTGCACCAAACCCTTGCAATATACAATTTACCTATAGAACAAACGTTAAGGTAAAACTTAAAATGAAAGTTAAAAAAATAATACTTTTTAAAAGTCTAGAGATGTTATGTTTATTGTTACTATAGGTAATCAACGTAGTCAAAATATTTTTTACTCACCCTACAACTCAATTGCACAAACCAGAAGTAGCTTTTTTATTGACTGTAACTGGCCTCACCTTTCTCAGGAGCCACCACTCACTCATTAATGGAAAATAAACTTCTGGTTTCATGGAGACAGACACAATAACTTAGGTAATGCAGCCTGTGCTTGGGTGATTCAGAAAAATGAATTGCTCTTTCAAATTTCTGCTCCTTCCAACGCCAAGAACCTCTCTTCACAAAGTTCTACCTGCTTTCCTGTACATTTGGGCACTCTCTTTTCTCGAGGTCTCCAAGATTCCTGGCCTGCTCAGTCCTGAGAGGTAGATGCCAAGCTAATTTTCCTGAGAGGGCTTTGTAAGCTTTGCCTCTGTAAAGTCCATCTTAGTTCCCTTTTCTTGTTGCTATTGGTGGTGAAAACTCTTAAAATCTACACCCTTAGCAAATTTCAAGTATACAATACAATACTGTTAACTATAGTTACATTGTTGTACATTAGATTTCCAGAATTTATTCATCCTGTTTAACTGAAATGTGTACCCCTTGGCCAGCACCTCCTAGCCCCTGGCAACCAACATTCTACTCTTTTTTCTATGACTTCAACGTTTTAGATTCCACAGATAAATATCACAATATTTGTCTTTCTGTACCTGGCTTTTTTCATTTAGCATAATGTCCTCTAGGTTGATCCATGTTGTCACAAATGGCAAGATTCTCTTCTTTTTTAAGGTTAATAGTCCATTTGTAAATACGTAGCACGTTTTCTTCATTTATTCGTCTGTCAATGGACATTTAGGTTGTTTCTATATCTTGGCTGCTGTAAATAATGCTGCAACTAACGTGGAAGTGGAGCTATCTCTCTGAGATAGTGATTTCACTTCCTTTGGATATGCATGCAGAAGTGAGATTGCTGGATCGTAAGACAGTCCTATTTTTAAAATTTTGAGAAACCTTTGTACTGTTTTTCACAATAACTATACCCCCAAAAAAGATCAACTATGTGCCAGGATGGGTAGTTTACTTAGCTTGACAGTGGTGAATATTTCACAATGTATACATATGTCCAATCATCAAGCTGTACACAATAAACACATATAATTTTAAATTGTCAACTATACTTCAATAAAGTTGGGGCAAAAATCCATCATAGTTCCTTAAAAGTGGTTAGTCATAGTTGGTTAAATAAACATCATACTTAAACTGACACTTTACGTTAACTGACATATAATGTTAAATATTCTTCAAGTATATGAATTTAAATAACTGTGTAGTATTTCACTTTTTATGTGTACGATAATGTCTTATACAAATTTCCTATTTTGGGACATTTATGTTGTTTCTAATATTCTGGCAATTTAAACACAGCTGAGATAAACATTCTCACATACACATCTTTTTTTACATCTTTGATTACTTCTTTTATTTATTTACTTATTTAGTTTTTGAGACAGAATCTTGCTTTATCACCCAAACTGGAGTGCAGTGGCGTGAACATGGCTCACTGCAGCCTCGACCTTCTAGGTTCAAACAATCCTCCCACCTCAACCCCCCAAGTAACTGATACAACAGGTGCATACCACCACATCCGATTAATTTTTGTATTTTTTGTAGAGATGAGGTTTCACCGTGTTGCCCAGGCTGGTCTCAAACTGCTGAACTCAGGCAATCCAGCTATCTCAGCCTCTCAAAGTCCTAGGATTACAGGCGTGAGCCACCAGGCACAGTCTTCTGATTATTTCTATAAGATAGATTCCTAGATGTAGAATTACAGACAAAGGATAGGGCTTTTAAAAATCATTATATCATATTAGCTTGTGATCAGGGTATGTCTACTAATAAGTTGTCTTTTCATGTACCTATCTTACTTTACTCTTTGCTATTCTGTGAGTTTATATTCCCCTAGAAACCCATGAGTTTGTGAGTCTAAAGCTCCTTCCTAAACTGTTGTGAGTGTAGTCCTCAAAAGCTAACATGCATCTTCCCACAGTTCTGCTATAATTAAATTTGACTTGGAAATCAATAGTAAAGAGTAAATATTTCTTTTTTCTCTGTTTTTTCTTGGTGTTTTTATTTTTTTAACTTATCTTCATACTAATTTCATTAAAATTTTTTACTTTTGTAATATGAAACTAGAGATAAACAAAACTACTAAACAGGTTCTATCGTTACATAGAAATTAAGCATCAATCAGTGACGCCCCAAAATTTGAAGATAATTTGGCAAAAATATATCTGTGACCTACAGAGGAAACACAAGGCTAATTTTAAGAGTTGTGTTTATTTAATTATACAATTATTCGTTCGTTTAGTAAATACTGAATTTTTATCACGTGCCAGATATCATGTTTAGTTTCTACAGATCATTTTGCCTTTTATATCTTTTTCTAAAATATTGAGTTGTGTTTCTTTGAAGGAACATAAAAGTAGCATTTGTTTTTTAGACTAAGATTGTTTGTGTGAGTGCACGTTTTCAATGTATCAGAAGGGCATACTTTGTTGTTAAGAAAGATGCTATTTAAACTGATCTAGTTCTCCCCATCATGCATAGGATTTCTCTTCAGTAGAAAAGGCAAATGCCATAAAGAGGGAATTGCATAAGTTATTGCTTGTAAGTGAAAGTTACCTGTGACTGTGGGGTAAAACCCAATTCTGACAGAGTTACACTTCTATCTGAAATTTCTGGGGAACTAGTTGATTTTGTTGTTTAAATCATCCTAACAAATCCATTCATGTGATTTGCCACTTCAGGCTATGCAATTCTTAAAAAATAAGTGTTCAGTCACCAAATAAAAAGCAAAGTGACAACAGGATTTTATTTCTATTGATTTCTCCACATCTTTAAAAGTATGCATACAAATGATCAAAGTGCATAAAAATGAGACTTAGTATTGTTTTGTATATAACAACTGTATTTTTTTGACAGTACCAAAAAAAAAAAAAAATGTCTTTTAACTCTTGCCTTCCTCTGATAGGATAAATCCTGATGATTCTCTCAGGGACCTCTAGTAGATGAGCTCGACACTCAAGAACCATAGCAGCTTCAAGGTAAAAGAAAAATTCCCAGGGAATCAGTGTCCCCCATTCCACATAGCAGAAATCTGCATCTCCCTCAGAACCTCAGGGTTTCTATTTGGGCTGGCCTTGGATAAAACTGTAAAGAAAACCAAGTTGTACTCTATTGCCCTTTTCTTATCCCTTCATATCACTTCCCACTAGATCCTAACCTTAAACTTTCTGCCATCTTCCCAGCCTCACGTACTCCAGTAACTATCCCAAGACATCTTGGTTCTAAACTAGGGGCCAGTATGTTGCTATGTAAATTTTAAAAGGGACACTGGAAGATGGAACAATACGCCCTAAAGGACAGAATCTCTTGCTGATGCAATAGAACGACACTGATGTGACAGGTGCTGGGGGCAGTGTGTTATTTATGGACACAGAGCCCTTCCTTGCACCATGGAAGCAACTGTCCACTCTGCTTACTTTCAAGACCAGCCTTGTTTAGGACTCACGGAGATGGTTTCAATTTTGTTATGCCCAAGACAGAGTGTGAGGGTAGGTGGGGCAAACAGATCTTCATGTAAGCAGGAGTAAACCAACTAAACAATTCACGAGGAAGAAATTTGTATTTATCTTTTTCAGGGAAAGGGAGAACCTTGGTTCCGTGCTGTGGGAGCTATTGTATTTCAAAGGAAGCTCTGACAGGTGTCAAAAATTTATCAGTTACCTTTACAGGAAGGCAATAGCTCAGATCATGGTTTGGAGGCAGTTTAGCAAAACTGATGCAAAAAGGTGTCATATACTCATGTTCACTCATGCATCAGACCTTGCAACATTACCAACCTCCTGACCATTTCAGTCAGGCACCAACTGGTATGTTGATCCTGTTGTTTGGACTCCAAGGCAAAAAGTACAGAATGAAGGCAAGCTTAGGAACCTCAGACCACCCTAAGTAATATAAAGCCTTATTGCATGGAGCCAAAAAAAAAAAGATTTATGTGTCCCTGGAAGCTATTTTTTATTTTTGGAAGTGATTGTCATCAAAAGCTGGCTGTTAAAAGCAAGATCACAGTGTTTTCTTTTAAAAGCAACAGACTGTGAGATATTTTCCTCTAACTTCTGAAAGACCTTAAAAGTGAAGGTATTGCCTGCTCGGTCCAGGCTCTACTTACTCGTTCTGAGACATTTGGTGGGTCATTTAACCTCTTGAATCTATAATACCTACAATACAGAATTGGAATGAGAATTGAAAACAAGGTAATGTATACAAAATGCTTTCCACAGTGCTCAAAACAAGGTGAGCACTTGATAATTTATAGTTATTATTACTATTGCCAAATGTATCAAAACATTTACATGATCACCAAAGTTCCTTTTCTCACTATCTGAATTAAGGATTTTACTTAGCCTATCTGTAAAATAAACTAATACTTATTGATATCTGAGAAATATATTTGGCATTTAGCATTTAGGAATCCTTAATTCAGTGGTTTTTTTACCAGGAGAACATGAAAAAACCTCTGAGATTCCATAAGTTCCTTAAAATTTCATGCAAAATTTTGAGTGGACGTGTGTCCCTCTGGAGAGAGAATCCATAGCTTTCAACAAATGTTTTCATGACCCTAAGCAAGGTTAATCAGTGCTTTGAATGAAGAGGCTGATGGTACAATATGATTGCATCAGTTACTTTGTAAATCAGCTACTTATGGAGAACAAATGATTTCTCTTTTATTAAGAGTCAGTTTCTCTAAGCCAGGCATGGTGGCTGATGCCTGTAATTCTAGCACATTGGGGGGCCCATCTATACTAAAACTACAAAAATTAGCCAGGCATGGTGGCCAGTGCCTATAATCCCAGCTACTCGGGAGGCTAAGGCAGGAGAATCGCATGAATACAGGGGGCGGAGGTTGCAGTGAGCTGAGATTGTGCCATTTCACTCCAGCCTGGGCAAAAGAGCAAAACTCCACCTCAAAAAAAAAAAAAAAAAAAAAATCAATTTCTCTAGACTGAGATGCGAGACACCCATACATATATCTTAAAGATGTTCAAATATTGTCTGACCTTTCCTCATGCTTCTGAGTAGTGCTTTATAGAAATAATTTCCCATAGACTGTTGCTGGCCCTTAGGTGGGATTGAGTCCTAGCCACTCAAGGAGGTTTAGATAAATAAGTTACTTTTTTTCTTTCTCTTTTTTTTTTTTTTTTGAGATGAAGTCTTGCTCTGCCACCCAGGCTGGAGCACAGTGGCGTGATCTCTGCTCACTGCAAGCTCCGTCTCCCAGGTTCACGCCATTCTTCTGCCTCAGCCTCCCAAGTAGCTGGGACTACAGGCGCCCACCACCACACCCAGCTAATTTTTTTGTATTTTTTTAGTAGAGACGGGGTTTCACCGTGTTAGCCAGGATGGTCTCGATCTCCCGACCTCGTGATCCACCTGCCTCAGCCTCCCAAAGTGCTGGGATTACAGGCATGAGCCACCGTGCCTGGCCAGTTACTCTTATTTATGAGATAACACAGGCTCCATAGAGAACTGAGCTGGTCTTAGATAAATAAGTTACTCTTCTCTTGCCTTTATCATTGTGTCTTGATGTCTTTAAGTACATTCCAGTAATGCTCCTTTGACTGACTGTCTGGCACCTTAGTACACCTGCATGCAGATCTTCACTTCATCTCAAGCTTTCAGGAAAAGGCTGCAGACACCTGTGCTAGATTGGAGTTGTTCTGCATAGAAAGTGTTCCCATCATTTTCACCCTATGGTCATTAGAGATACCAAATAGGAACCTAGGTAACTTCCTTTGTGATAGTAGGGGAAAAAACAAAAACAAACAAACAAACAAAAAACATTGAAATAAAATACTTTCCACAGACCAGCTCAGTTCTCTATGGAGTCTGTACTCTCTCATACACTGAAAGCCCAAATTTCAAACAGGGTTGGATTTAAGCTGGTGATTTAAATAGGTGAAAGGCTCTGTATCCTATTACTAATCCCAGAGCCATACAATCCCCCCTATCACCCCAGTAATATCACTGAGAAAGTCACCAGGCGAGGCCGCAGGTTGAACTTTGTCATCTACTGGTGCTGGCTGACAGACTCAGTATTTGTCTGCTAGTAATGAGTCAACAACTTTTATTCCAGTGACCACAGACAGCAGCTGTTTGCTATAGTTGACAAGGAGTAGGAATAGAGGGAAAAGATAGAAAAAAGAAAAGAGATTTTGTTTCCTCTCAGAAAACTAATGGTCCAAGTGAAAACACAAACACAAGTATGTAAAGAACTTGTAAAGCAAATACAGAATGAGTGAGTATAAACCAAGACATTGGAAAAATATTACATAAGAAGAGATATTCACAGACTAAGATAACTAGAGAGGAACTGAAGAATGACACCAAGGGTTTCCATAGGAGGAATGTCTTGTGCTAGCCTTGACACAGTGTGAACCATGGGTGGGGATCAGCTGAGAGGACCTCGTGAATAAAGAGGAATATTATGGAAAAGAACAGAAGAGAGACAAATGAAGCTAAGCACAGAGTGAACGATCAAATTTGTTTAGTTAGAAAAAAAAGAAACTCCATATCCGAAGGAAATGGTCAGTTCTAAGAACAAAGAGGAGCCTGGATTATGTTTCAATGCTCACTTATTAATTCATTAATTCATTTATTCAACACATATTTAGACAGCACGAACCAGTAGATGATGCTTCTCTTGGCACTGAGGTCACAGACTAATTCCCTGCTATTCCTGAGTTACATTCTAAGGAGAAGAGACACACAATGAACCAATAAACAATACATTAAAAAGCAAAATACCATTTACGTCTACGTGGTGAGTAAGATCTCTAGTGTGGCTTTTGAGGAGTCACAATGTGAGGCTTGGTGGAGCATGGTGACTATCTCGTGTGTGGTCTCTGAACATTAGCACTGTTCTATACCTTTGGTTCTGAGGTGATATTAAGGCCACTGCTATAGAACAATGAACAATTAATCATAATATTGTCAATGAGTTCTGCCCACAGGTTAGAGGCCTTGGATGTTAGCATTTATTATCCAATTATCCAACCTTGAGGAAGAATGAGAAGAGGTAAAGCGTGTGTCAACTGTGTTTTGGAAATTGCCTGCAGAGTACCCTTTTGTTTTTCTGTCATTCAGAAGACATACTATAAAGTAAAATTTCATATACAGACTATAAAAGGCTTGAAAAGTACCATCAATCAAAGTTAATTTCATAATGCCAGTCAACTCAGCTATAGAAATTTTATTTCTATATTTACTAAATGTCCTCTCTAAATAAAATAAAGCAATTAATTCAATAGTAAAGAGTAAGATAGTAAATTCATGCTCCTAATTTGATATTTGGGAGAAATAAGCAAATGAAGACTAATTTACATTTTTCTGTATTCTCTTCAGCGAGATGGGCCAGTCAAGAGCAGTGGCTTGTAACAGAACTGTGTAAGGGAGTTAATAGGGACTCTAGAGGAGGCCTGGTTTCTGGTCTATGGATGAAGTTAAAATGGTCCTTATCCTTAAGGAAGTTAAAATTATCCTTAATGTTCAAATGATGCTCTGAGACCAATCAGACTTCGCAGTTGACCATTGATGGTTTGTAAAAAATGTAAAAGGTGCCAGGCATGGTGGCTCACGCCTGTAAACCCCCGCACTTTGGGAGGCCAATGCGAGCGGGTCACAAGGTCAGGAGTTTGAGACCAGCCTGGCCAACATGGAGAAACCCCCTCTCTACTAAAAAAATATGAAAATTAGCCGGGCATGGAGGCATGCACCTGTAATCCCAGCTACTCAGGAGGCTGAGAAGGAAGAATTGCTTGAATCCAGGAGGCGGATGATGCAGTGAGCCAAGATCACACCACTGCACTCCAGCTTGAGTGACAGAGCAAGACTTCATCTCAAAAAAATAAAATAAAAAAGAATGTAAAAGGATGACTGTTCTCCATTACAGCCACTATCCATCTTATCCTCATTGGATCAATGTTTAAGTTTTTAATGTGCTATGTACACACTCTCCAAGAAAACTGATGGGCCAAAATTGGCATCAATCAGAAGCTCAGGAAAAAGTGAATTCTTATGAGCCCAACTGCAGTCATTACTGAAAAAAAAAAAAGTCAAAAGTTAGAAAGAGAAATGCTCAAAGGGCAGATTATTAAAGGTTTTAACAGACCATTTAAGTTAATAAAATCAACTTCACATGTAATGTGGATTAAAATGTTACCGGCATTTGTATTTGTTAACCAGGAAAACAAAAATGCATTTTAGTTTTTCACTATGCATTTTTCATGTTTATTCTGTGTACTGTTTTGGGCCATTTGTTGATAATAAGAACTCGTCTCCTTCAAAATTACATGCAGGAATGGATACTAATGATGACCCTGATGAAGACCATCTTACAAGTTATGATATTCAGCTAAGTATTCAAGAATCCATTGAAGCCAGCAAGACTGCGCTTTATCCTGAAAGGTAGTATTCAAACCAACTATCCTCAGCACAATTTCTTTATGGCATTCATTTTGTTGTGAGATAAAATGAACACCATTTCCTAATTCCTCCTCTAGGAAAACTGACCTTTCCTTTCTGATAGGGAATCTAACAGCTTTCCAAGGGCCACTGTACATAAGTTTTAGCAATCTGATCTTCCACAAATCCTCACCTCATGTGGGAAACAGGAAAAACCCTATGTGGAAAATTCCTAGATGAATTTGGTTGTATAGAATTGCCTATTTTCTAAATTAATATAGATTCAAAAAGGGCAATGAGTAATTTGAACATATTTGCAAGTACAGTTTATACAACAAATATACAGACAGGTTGGTATACAGAGGTCTATACACTCTAGAGCTCATTCTGCTACTGATTCAGCTAACCCTTTACAGGTAATATATTCCATTGTTGTATGTTTAAAATATGAAGAATAATGCTAAACCACGTAGCCCATTAGTTAATGAATGAGAGAAGAGTTGCAGGTTTTTATTTTATATGACAAAGTAATATACAAACTACCACCTATTTGATTATCTACTATCTAAAAGACAAGAATTAATAAATTAAAATATACCTAAAAGTGATGTATTATGTAGGTAGGATTTATTGAGTCTAAAACTGCAAAAGTAAATTTCTTTCTTAAAAAAAGACATTATACATCTGACAGAAATAAACTAGTTTACCTTTACTTTTTGTTACAGTGTTTAAAATCTTGTATTCTGGAATTTAGTAGTACTTTTGAAGAGATTCAGTGTTTAAAAATGGTTGCTTTTGAGCTTTGAAAAAATAGACGTAGTACATTGAAATTCCTGGTCTGAAATATCTCCCTTATCTCCAACAAGCTTTAGAACTTTAGCGCTCCCTGGAAGGCATTCACAACCCTGGTATGCTAGCAGATGTTTCTGCTTAACAGAGTTAAGTAAATTTGTTATGGAATTCCTTCTTCCCACTTAACAAACACACACACCAGAAAACTTCCATGAGGATTTAAATCATGACCTGCTGGGCCAGTGATTGGGAGTTTGTTTAGTAAATGCCCTGCCTATTTTCACATGTGGAACAGTTGATTTAAAACTCACATATATAGTTTAGACCATAAGCTCCCAAGTAAGTACCTTATTAGCAATTATGAAGTTCAAAGCAATAAACATTTTTTGAGCATAGAATTTTAAAAATTAGAAAAAGCCCTAGAGATCTATTAATTGCGTCATTTTTCAGATGAAGAACCCACATCCAGAAAGGCTAATTGGCCTCCCCAGAATCACAAAATCAGGCTAGGATCTGAACCTAGCTCTTCTGAATCTGACTCCAATTGTTTACTCCTTTTTTATTGCTTTGAGATCTCTCAGAGATAGCATTGTACTCTTCTATTTCACCATCTTCACTAATATTCTTAGATCAATGCATTGTAAATATACTCTGTGTCTGACTCCCGTACATTTACTTTTTTAAGGAGATAAAATCAGTTGTATGCGTCTCATTTGGATCTTGATTATTAAAATTAAGCTTAAAAATGCAATATAAATTAAAATCTTTGGTTCCTTGAAATATATCACTAGTATCTAGTATAAATATGGTTTTTCTTTATCTCATAGATTTGTACCCCTAAGTGGTCAAAACAGAAAACTTGTGGAGGCCATAAAACAAGGTAAATGAGTGTACCATCTACAGTGGGATGGACTGGAGATTCCACCTTGCAAAAACAGAGATTAGTCATCAGTCGATGTGTTTAATTTAGGTCACATTCTTGAGCTCCAGGAGTATGTAAAATATAAATATGCAATGGATGAAGCTGATGAAAAAGGATGGTTTCCATTACATGAAGCTGTTGTTCAACCCATTCAACAAATACTTGAGATTGTTCTGGATGGTAAGAGAACATAAAACACGTTTGACCAAACCAGGGCAAGAATATTGACATGCTGATGTTATAAGTGTTTTCAGTGAACATAACTAGCAGAAAGAAAAGGTGGATTAAAATATTATTTGGAATTTGAAAAAGGCAGCACCCATGTTTTAAACTCAGAGTACAAAAATTAGGACATTTTTTGACATTCGGGGTTTACCTTTTGCATCCTTTTACCTATGAATGAGACACAGGTTGGTGGAAAGGTGTGGTTATCACATAATAGTGATAAAAGTTTCTATATGTCATGAATTAATTGAGTTATATATAACACTCTTTTCTTTTGGAAGTCAATTTTAAATTTTTCATTTTGAACTATCTCTTGAGTTAACAGTTTCCAAAAGATTCTTATATAGTACAACAGGGAGTACTGAAAATATTTGTCTTTACATTACATTGATTTTTTTTTCTTAATGTAAGCATTAAAAAATGTTGTGGCAAATCAAGCCAGTGTTAAATATTAACAATAACTTTTATGTTCTAACACAGTGTTTTCACATCTCAGCATCTTACAGAACACTTTTGAGAGTGCCCTATTGTTCAACTTTCACTGTTGCATGACAGCTGTATGTTCTGGGAGATACACACTTGATTATTAGCCAGCCACCTAGAAAACCAGACAGCTAGACAGACAGATATAGATGATGTTAAGGATCATTTTGACACAATGATACCTACATTCAAGTACATTCTCTTTCCCACATCCACAGACTGCATTTCACAAACAAACAATTTCAGTTACAATATAAATTATAATACAAAGAATTGAAGCACTGTTTTGTAACGTATCAAGAAATGAGACCTAGCGCGCCATTTTCAAAAAAGCAGCTAGAAACAGATTTTGGTTTTCTAGCTGTCAATTTGATTAGCAACTCCATGTACATCTACTTTATCCTCACCGTCATTTGGTAAACTTTTGTCAGTCTTTTCATTTTCATCAATTGACTTTGTTCAATCTGATGTGTATAATATTGGGTTGCTCTGATTTGTTTGACATCCTGTCAGTATTTTCAACTTTTCAACATAATGCTTTCATGTCACAGCATCCTATAAGACACTCTGGGAGTTCAAGACCTGTGATGGAGAAACACCCTTGACTTTGGCAGTCAAAGCTGGTCTGGTGAAAAATGTAAGAACTTTGTTAGAAAAGGGAGTGTGGCCCAACACAAAAAATGATAAAGGAGAGACCCCCCTTCTGATTGGTAAATGACCTTTTTTTCTAGAACTTTTATGGTTTGAAACAAATAATAATTATTTATTGGAAATCACTGTATAATGGCTAAAATTGTGATCTCAGTTCCTTCCATTCCCTGAGTTACTTGCTTAAACCCCCTGTCTTCTGTCCTGTGATTTTGTTTTCCTATACTACAAGGATGTGAAATATGAAAGATGGCTATATACTTCAGTATCCAGTTGTAGAGACTGCAGCTGACCAGGAGGGATCTGAATTAGTTTTTCTGAAGCCAGAGATAGCAATTTTAAAGGAATATTCTCTAGGTAGGATCCACCTGTAAAGAGGGTTGCATGTGCAATATGTAGCCAGAAGCAAGAGGTGGAAAGGGATTCCAAAGGGAGAGATCAAGTTCACATCAGACTGATCAGGCAAAGCTGGAAGGAAGGGGAGCCAGCAGATTCTGAGCACACAGACACAGAGCATGGCACCTATGAGGGGTACACTGTGACACAACAAGGGAAGAATGGGAAATGTGAAGGTGACATTTACCAGCTCTGTCTCGTATATCCTGCTATTTGTTGAACAATAAGAATTGGCAAGTCCGTTTGTGAAAGGAGAGAGTGATAAGATTAACTCCAAAGGACCCAGAGATAACATTTCCTTTCTCTTAGGGACATAGGATGGTGGAGTAAGAATTTGGTGTTACCATGGAGATTACTGGGTTTAAATCTTAGCAGTCATGGGCCTCAGTTTTCTCAAGTATAAAATGGAAATACAACACCTACCATGCAGAATTGTGATTAAAAATTAGAGAAAAAATATATAAAAGCTTTCACATGTAATAGATGCTCAAGAGGGAAGAGCCATTATGAAGTTGTCTGTGTGGCAGGAGGAGGAGAGGGAAGAGGAGTAGGAGCAGGAGGAGAGGGAGGCTAGGACATAAGATTATTTACCAGCAATCACAGAGGAAGACATTAAAGGTCATAGCTAGTTAAGAACCATCACAGCGCCTGCTCACAGAGGAATCACTTAAAAAAAATTAAGCAGCCTGAATATTAAGAAAATCTGAATATT